TGATTATACAGATAATATGTTTTTTTTTTTTAACTTGGGCCAACAGTGTTTATATCAATACTTGGGTTCCAGCGGTTGCCAGATGTTTTCCTCTACTCATCCTTTCGTTTGGAGTTGTCATTAAAAGACAGATCAGGAGGAGGATAAACAAAAGCCTTTAAGAAAAGAGAATAAATAATATTCTGGAAATTTTTAAGTTTACAAAATTAACAGAAGAGGTCTGAGAAGTCAGCTGATTTATCTCCTTGCTCTTCAATTAGAGCCTTTTATAAGCTAGCATCTTACATGTTTGAAGGGAGCCAGTTTCCTGTAGCAGCCCATCTCTCAACCCTTTAACTATTTCATTCAGATTCATTCCACCAGTTGGGCTTTTGTCCTTGACTCCTTTTTCTAATGAGCATTATTTGGTAAAAAGTGCTCCAATCTTAGTGTTGGGAACCCACCTGGGTCTCAAACCCAGCTCTGCTTTGTGACCTTGAGCAAGTTCTTAACCTTTCTGAGCCTGTTTCTTCGTGGAGAAAAATGAATAATAACCTTTTTTTAAATTTCACAATGTTCTGGTAGGAATCAGTGGGATAATTGATTTATAATTATAATCATATAATTTAAATGTATGTGAAAGTATTTGTTGACCTATGTTCTGTTTGGTGGTGTACAGACATGATCACTCTATCTCATGCACAAAGGTGAAGAACACTTCCTAATTTTGTTCCTCTTTCTCTAATGGTATGTCCTAGATGAAGATCCCACTTCTTTTCAATGTTTTCTTACATGTCATGTTTGCTAAGTTTGAAATAATTTGTTTTTTTTCTTGAGCATCTAGTGTTTATCATGATTCTACTATTCCTTCAGGAAAACATTTCAACCCTTTTCTGACTCAAGAAGTATCTTTTAAAATGAAATGCATTGCAATCGGGAAACTATAGATAATAACCCTATTCTAATTGTAATCTGTGAAGTCTAAAGGACTTCATGACATATAAATGGTTTATTTTCCCCCCAAATAAACTGTTTTTAATTCAATAAATGGGATGAATGAAAGCCTCTTTAAGGTTACTAAGACTTCATAGCAATGAGTTTCTTTTCATTATGATAGTGACTTATTAAATGAATGATGCATTATTTTGCAAGTTGTAGCAATTGAAATTTAAACTATTTAATGGGATGCCTTTAAAGAGTTTATGTGTGTGTGTGTATATATATATATATTTTTTCACCCCCAAGGGAAATTGATAAAGATATCTTGGAGAATCTTGCTCCTTAGCTTATGAAACTTTTTAAGGGTTAAGAAAATCTGCTGCTGAATCATGCATTAGGGTGTATAGCTGTAGATACTAAGAATAACTAAAGTTTATACATAAAAAAATCAGTAACGAGAAAAAATCTGTAACAATACCTGTGTATGTATATATATATTTTTAAATTTATGTATCAGTAAAGTTTTAAAGAAGCTGTTTTATTGAAGAAAAAAAGAAAATGTATGACTCTGTTCCATTTCTTAAGAATCTTCACTGACCCGTAAATTATTACTATAGTCTTGTCTTTTTCCATTTCCAGACTAAAGAGTACCTATACTTGCTTCGTTAATGTTCCTTTTCCCCTAAAAGCCCTGTAATCCCTGAGGCGGCTGCTTTTACCATTGTAAGGTAGGCCATTCTCTTTTGGTCAAATCTGGAATGTGTTCTCATTTTTCTTGGTCTTTGGGGCCTCTGTGACATTGCATTTTCTTTTATCTTCTCATCCCTTCCTCAGCAGTATCGCTCCTTCCTACATACACGTTCTTCTTTCTTGTCCCTACTGGTAAGATCTAGCCCTTCACCTGCTCTGTCTCAACATTCTTGTAGTAGTGAACTGATAAAACTAGCTTATAATTTTTTTCTATCTGTAGTCCTAATTTTTCTCTAAACCTGTCTAGTTGGATTCTCCTGAAATCTCAAGGCAACATGTCAAGCTGCCCTTATCATCTTCGTTTCCAGTCTAGCTCATGCCTTCATTTTCTACCCAGAGAATACACCACTTTCCCAAGTCACTTAGCCATGACATTTCTTGGATTCATTGCTCCCCACTTTTCATTTGATCACCTTATAAGCTCTTGTGATTTTTTTCTTTTTGCCATTTCATGCATCCAAACATTTTTCTATTGGGTACTATAATCTCCTTCTTATCTCTGGACTCCTGAAATTTATTCTTCACATAGTTTTGACATTAGTGTTCCTAAAATACTTCTTTCTTCTTCTTACTTTTCTGCTCAAGGACCTCCATTTACTTCCCATTGTTAATAAGCTGACATTCAAGCCCTTCAGTCAGGAGACTTCTGCCATCTGACGCTATACCTTCTGTTTCCAAACTTACCTCAAGCAGGAAAGTAGACTGTCTTAGCTGCTTTCTCTGAATGACATGTTCATTCTACGCTGTGGGCCTCACTGAGTTTGCCAATTAGAATACCATCATTTCTATAGAAACCTAACCTTAAGACACTTAAACAGGAAGAAAATTAAAATATACATGTTGGATATGTAATTATTCCACTCAAATAATTTATTTAAAATATCAGATGGAGTGTAGAAGAGATGATTGAAAGACAACAGGGTGATGAAAGGACTTTATTAGACACAGATTTGGTTACGATTTAAATTTCAGTTGAACATTTAATTAGGTTTCCATAGGGGACGAAAAAAACATGGAGTATTGTCTCTGCACAAAAATCGTTTAGTATTTTGTTCATTTGTATTAGAAGAGTTTCAAAGTTTAAAACTTTTTATATCTTTACTTATCCCTAGCATATTTTCTTTTCTTACTAAGCATATTTGACTTTTTCTATTTTGGGGGGTAAGTAAAATATTATTTGTGAGTTGTTAGACTATGTGTGTGTTTTCATTATGCATTGTTATTTTCATCTTCTTCCGTGCTTCATCATAAATTTTTAAACCTACTTTGTTCTTAACCAATTACATGAGCCCATTTCCATGTACTTTCACAGAATCTTTGGCAGTTTTTATTTTTACTTCCCCTTTGTTAGGATTATATATCATATAAAAATTTGATGAGCCTTTGCAGTTGGGAAAAGCCTTTAGGAAACCTACCTTCCCTAATCCTACACAGTAACATAGCACTTGTGTTTCAAAGATAAAAGATAGATATCACAGAAACCTCACCGAAAACTGTGTTCTCTGTACTAAACCACTGCTTTTTGACTGATAGACTTTTTGCATAAACCTTACATTTTCCAAAAACTGATCTCCTGCCTACTCCTCCTAGGGTTAAAAATATTGCCTTGTCAGTCAAGTATAGAGTATGCTAGTATAAATAACGTGCTTTGTTTGCTTAAAACAGTTGGTTTGGGAAGCTAGCAAAATAGCGTATTCTTTCACATATTTAATAAGATATGAGATTTATATTTTGATTCTGTGATAAACTGTTTGGTAAGATTACCAAAATCAGTACCAAATGAACTTACCAACTTCTGCTTCCTGAAGTTTTTGGTGTGCTGATAGTTATCCAGTTCATTGCATTTGTGGATTGTGCTTTTAGAAAAATTCTGGGCATATGCATGTTTTAAGTTATTTGTGTATATAGTAATGAGATATAATAAAAAATGTATATATTCAACTTACACTGCACCTGTGATTATTCAACTGCCTCTTTATGACAGATTGACTCTTTGAAAACCAAAATAAAAATGAACCGTGTTACCTACAGGAATAATTTTTATCTTATTATTCCTGTTGCTTTTATACTCCGCTAAAACAAAGAAAAGTTGATTTTTCAGCTATTGTAATGGCTGAAGGGTATACAGTATACATGTGGTTAAAGTGAGAAGAGAAAAAGGATGAAAAACACCCTAAAAATAACCAATTGGCATTTTGTTCTTAAAAATCTAAGGAATTTTATTGCATTTTACATACATATTATTTTATCTTAGAGATTCATGTCTTTTCTGGCTTTTCCTCCTAGAGTAAGAACACTGCTAATATCTGTGTTACTTCTTTTTCTTTTTTAAAGTAAAATCTTGAAATGATGTTTAGACTGTTGGAAGCTTCACAGTCTTTTGGAAATTCAAATTAATAATTTAAATATAAATACAATATGGTCTTTAACTTTGAAGAGTAAAAATGGAAGATGAATTACTGTAGGATAGTTCACTTAAATGGAGAACATATATTTGAATAGTTTCAGTGGGCCTTGGTTTATTTGACCAAACATTGTTTTCTAGAATTTTTCTTATTAGCTCTTATGATCAGTAATTTGAGGGAAGGATCGAATTATAAGCGATCTAAGTTTTTTCTTTTTAGGGGAGGGGTGCTGTACTTTGGATGCTGTTCTTTGTCTATAAGTGTTTCTGGAAACTATGTAAAACTTTTAAAAATTCTGACTTCAATTCTGTAATATTACAGAATAATACATTAAAGTTCACTGAGGAGAGGTTTGATAATATATACTCGTTTGTTTTAAATAAATAGAAGTGTACACAGAAATTACAATAATCTCAGGCTGCCTTTCCGTTTATCTTTCAAGCAAGTTCACTTTTAGACCTTCCCTTTCATTAATTGGGTAGAGAGTCTGGGATTAAAAATAGATTGTTTTAGAAGGTAAAACTGCTGGATGGAAAATCTGTGTGTCAAGTAGAAATTTTAGTAAATCTGAAATTCTTGTTTAGGTCCTTGTTGAAAAGATTTCTGAAACGCTGGAGACCATTTTCCTGACATGGTAAGGCATTTTAAAAACTTAATTTAGAGGGTTTATACCTTTTAAAGAGACTCTCTGTTTTCCTTCTAAATGTCAATTATCAATTTTCACTTTTCAGAACTGTACAAATATTCTTAAGGCTTTTTGTTTGTGTAAACAAAATCTGTTCTTTTAAAAATTTACCATTTTTTTCTTACCCCTAGTCTCCCTTCCCGGCCTTTAATCTAAATAGCCAAAAGTTTCATTTATATATATATATTTTTTAATTAATGTTTTAGGTATCATATAAAGTTAGTGAATTCTATATTTAGGAATAAAAATTTTTTTTTTCACTTCTGATTACTAAAAGTGGTTACATGAATAAAATGACAATTTCCCATTAAGACAAGGATTGCTGAATGATTAAACTAAGGAAAAAAAGTAAAATCTTCCTTTTAATAAAGGTGACTTATCCTAACAAGATTAAGGGGAAAAACTCATGTTATACTTGTTGAATTTATGTTCAAATACGATTATTGAGTTGTTTTATTTTTTATTTTTTGTTATAGACAAAGCAAATCCAAAAACCTAGCCTAAAAAAATTCTCATGCATTATTAAAAATGGTAGTAATAAAATATGTATTGGTGGTAGAGAAGAATCCCACAAGTGCTCAAGATTGACATAACCTTTAACAAAGTGGAAAAACTTTTATCAGAACTACTGATACTAGGTTCAAATTTATGTCAGAGCACTTTATGGTACCGAAATTAGTACAACTAATTTTTTCTGAGCTTTAAAATGTCATTTTTCACTAAATGAGCTTAGATGAAATGTTTGAGAGACTTATTATTTGAGGCAAGTGTTTATACAAGTTTAGGAATCTTTGGCTTTAGTAAACTCCCTTTTTCATAATTAGCATGTCTCTTTCACATGCTTTTCAGAATCATTTATCTCATAGCTTGTGTTCCAAGTTCTATCTAGTAATTTTTAAACTTCAAAAATAATCTTTTTCAGTTACAAGGTTCTAAAACAGTAAAATACCTTGTAATTTGAGTGACATTTTTTTTTCTTAGGCAAAGTACTTCAGAGCATTTGCCTAATCCTTAAAACATTCTTCTGAATTAATATGGAAATCAATAATTGCCCTCCTTAAAAAGTGAGAAAACTGAAGCAATGTAAAGTTAAGCTCCTGGCCCAAGGTAACAGAGCAACCAAGGTGAAAAATCTGGGTATTCCATCTGCTGTTCCGGTGTACTTCTATTATTTGTATTACCTTGAATAAAATATGGCATTTAAAAATTTATGATGTCATAATGATGAGCCTCTACTTATACAGCAGGGCTGTATAATGTTAAATTTTTAAAAGAAAAATTACAATCCCAGGCTTAAGTAGTAAAGAGATTAAGTACTGACAATTTTTTTTTAAGATCATTAATGGCAGTACTTGTGGAATAAACTGCCTTACTAAGAGGGTAATGTCCTGGACAGCACTGATTAGACAAAGTGTACAAAGAATGCTTAAAAGATCCATGGACCATTAAGTTAGCACTAAGCTACACCACCATAAAAGTCATACATATTGTACTGTATATTGACACACACTGAGAAGCGTGACAAGCGTTTTCAATAATGTGTATTTTAGAAAACTTCATTTTTTGCTAATGTTTATCTGAATAGAAGATCTAGAAAACAAAACAAGGAAGCATTGAGCACTGAGTATTTTCATGCCCAGTATCCAAAAGTCAGGGCTTTTTCTTCCTCGTGTTCATGCTGGTTGTTAAGAGAGCACTGGCTTTTCAGATGGTGCCAATCCTGTGATGAGGCACTTGAAGAGTTTGAAGGTTAGGGCATGTGAAATACGGAGCTGGGAGGAAGCATGCTGCTATTCCATTGGAAGCAAAAGGAAGTGTAGGCCCGTAGAATACTTCTTCTTTGCCTTCTCTACTGACATCCAATACCTAACAAAAGAAGAGGAGAAACCTGTACGTTAAAGGTGGTTGTTCAAAATAAAGCTGGGTACACATAAAAGAAAGCCTGCAGTTAAATTCAGTTATGCCACCATGACTATACCTTACGCATTGCTATTTTTCTCAAGTATGGTACCAGGAATATGTATTAAGTTCCTACAAAGTGCTATTCTACACATTTCTGTTTGTGTTTCTACACGTTTGTACATACATACGTATGTATGTTACGTTTGTATATACATAGATATATAATTTGATAATTTAATCTTCAGAACAGTGTCAAGGTATAGGTAGCATTATCCTCCTTTAATAAAACTGCCTTAGACTGCTTAAGTAACTAGCCCAAACTAGTTAGTACGTGTTGTTTGTATGCTGGCTTACAAATCCTCACCTGTAAGGTGAAAACAACATTGACCTTGCAGCTTTGCTCTGGAAATTAGTGACATACAGCTCAGTGTCTAGCACATAGAGTATTATAGCTTAGTAGCAGGTTCAAAAAAATCAGTTGCTTCTGGAAATTCTTCCCCAGTTATTTCCCCATTAAGCTGGAGTTCCACCTCTTTCCATATATGGACAGAATCCTTTGTTAGTGTGTGCCTGCTGTCACCTCACTGATTCTGGTTTAATCTTACTACTAGGGAAATTCTTTCTTGAGGAAAGCTGGTCATTTCCTTTCTTGAGGAAAGCTGGTTTAATCTTTTTTTTTTTTTTTTTTTTTGCCGTACGGGGGCCTCTCACTGTTGTGGCCTCTCCCGTTGTGGAGCACAGGCTCCGGACGCACAGGCTCAGCGGCCATGGCTCACGGGCCCAGCCGCTCCGTGGCATGTGGGATCTTCCCGGACCGGGGCACGAACCCGTGTCCCCCGCATCGGCAGGCGGACTCTCAACCACTGCGCCACCAGGGAAGCCCCTGGTTTAATCTTACTACTAGGAAAATTCTTTCTTGAGGAAAGCTGGTCATGTCCTACGTGTCTAACCCATAATGTTCCTTCCAGCCTTCAATATCTTAACCTCTTTTCATATGACCTTCCTCAACCTTCATTTTTTTAAATTAATTTTTTATTGGAGTATAATTGCTTTACAATGTTTTGTTTCTGCTGTACACCGAGGCAAATCAGCTGTATGTATACATATATCCCCTCCCTTTTGGACCTCCCTCCCCCTGCATCCCACCCATCTAGGTCACCACAGAGCACCGACTGAGCTACCTTTGTTTAAAACCTTTCCTCCCTTGGGTTCTATGACCTTAAGAAAATAAGTTGGTCATTGACACAGGACACCTTTGGTCCACTTCTTCCATCCCCATCCTAAATGTAGGTATGCCCCAATATTCCAACCACAGACCCCTTGGTAGTCTTCTTCAATGATCTTGTCCACTCTCATGCCTTCATCTGTCACCTAAGTAGATAATTCTTTTTTTTAATTAATTAATTAATTTATTTATTTATTTATTTTTGGCTGCGTTGGGTCTTCGTTGCTGCATGCAGGCTTCCTCTAGTTATGGCGAGCGGGGCTTACTCTTCGTTACAGTGCGCGGGCTTCTCATTGTGGTGGCTTATCTTGTTTGTTGCGGAGCACGGGCTCTAGGCGTGTGGGCTTCAGTAGTTGTGGCATGTGGGCTCAGTAGCTGTGGCTCACGGGCTCTAGAGCGCAGGCTCAGTAGTTGTGGTGCATGGGCTTAGTTGCTCCACAGCATGTGGGAACAAACCTGTGTCCCCTGCATTGGCAGGCGGATTCTTAACCACTGAGCCACCAGGGAAGTCCTGCTCTAAGTGGATAATTCTTAAGCCTTTAATGTAATAATGCATTATTTTATATGAAAGAAGCCCTTGAGATTTTGGGATCCAAGCTCATAAAGGAGGAAATGACTAAAGCCTAGAATAAAGTATCAAACCTTGTAGCTTTTTTTCCCAAATGGACATTTAGCTGTCCCATCCCATTTATTGAACAATATGCCCTGTCACTATTAATTTTAAATAGCTCTAGTATATGCAACATATAAATTTTTCTTTGTTCTCTCTTTCATCGATTTATGTACCTTCCCGCAGTACCACATTTAGTTATTTTGACTGGGTAGGGCATGTCTCCCCCATTCATTTTCAAGCATTTCTTGGTTCTTCTTGTATTTTTCCTTTCCTGGAGAAACTTCAAGATCAATTTGACAAGTATTACTCCCCCACCCTGTGAGAAAAAGGAAAATTACAATGGGATTTTGACTAGTATTTCATTAAATAAGGAAGTAGAGGTCTTTCAATATTTACCTCAAATAAGATTATTGTTCAGGTTACAGAGAAGAAAATTGAGATACAAAGAATGTTCAATGACTTGCTCAGGATCACACAGCTAGTAAGTGGTGGTGGAGCCAGTACTTGGGCTCAAGGTTGCAACCCAAGAAAGAGCAAGGTTTTCATGCCATTCGGGATATCCCCTCCTCAACTGAATACATTTCTAGAACACAAAATATCAGTTGAGGTCACTGTCCAAACAGCTTGTCTGGTTCCCTGGGCCAACAGAGGCTGTGTGTGTTAAGCAGATGCAATTTATTTAATCTGTAAGATGTGAAAGGAAGTGCTGGCAGTTTTTCTCCAAAACACTCTCCTGTAAACTGGCAGAAAGAAGGAATATGGGAGAAGGAGGTGCCAGCTTGGCAGCATATCCTCCAGCCAAAAAGAAAATCATAAATGAAGAGCAGTGGAGGTGATCTGGCAACACAGACTAATCACTTGCACACTTAGGCAGCTGTTCCTTTACCTGCTGCTCGTCATCCACAGCGTCCAGATTAGAGTCAACCTCCGTGCCAGACGTTTGCTTACACACCCACTGAATAAAGAAGAGCACCTGACTTTCCTCAGGAATCTATTTTTTAATATTTTACATGGGTCAGTATTACTAACAAGTCCAAATCTCCATCTTTGAACAAGTATTAATTTAAGAGCACCTCAGCCTTTCTCTTATTTGGGTTGCCCTTGAAATGGATCAAATAGTCTGTGCTAAATCAAGTAGTAGAAAAAAATAGAACAGTATGCTTTCTCAACAGTTGACAGGCTTGTGGCTGAATCCCACAAATGACAGTTAAATAAGCTTTGATTAGAATCCAGAAGGGTCAGTCTAATGAGAGAGGTTATTGGCTGGTATTTTCAAGACCAAAGAAAATTACTTTAGTCCTTCTGGATGTTAACAGACCAATCTGTGAACTATTTAAGTGTGACCTTCATTAATCTTAGCCAGCAGTGCACTTAGAATCCAAGAATACTATAGATTTGTAACTTATGAAAAATTTAAACTTTGATATTTTTAACATCTATACTATTTTCTCCACCACTCTGACCTGTAATTTTCTTTTTTTTTTTTTCCTCACAAATCACATCTCAGAATTTATTCAATGCTTTGGAGCTTAAAATATTTTTTTTAATTTTTATTTTATATTGGAGTTATAGTTAATTAACAATGTGTTAGTTTCAGGTGTACAGCAAAGTGATTCAGTTAGACATATACATGTATCTATTATTTATCAAATTCTTTTCCCATTTAGGTTCTTACAGACTTGATCAAAGTTCCCTGTGCTATACAGTAGGTCCTTGTTGGTTATCTATTTTAAATACAGCAGTGTGGACATGTCAGTCCTAAACTCCCAATCTATCCCTCCCCCCACCCTTCGTCCCTGGTGACCATAAGTTTGTACTCTGTGAGTCTGTTTTTGTTTTGTAAATAAGTTCATTTGTATCATTTCTTTTAGATTCCACATATAAGTGATATCATATATTTGTTTTTCTCTGTCTGACTTACTTCACTTAGTATGATAATCTCCAGGTCCATCCATGTTGCTGCAAATGGCATTATTTCATTCTTTTTAATGGCTGAGTAATATTCCATTGTATATATGTACCACATCTTTATCCATTCAACTGTCAATGAACATTTAGGTTGCTTCCATGTCTTGGCTATCGTAAACAGTGCTGCAGTGAATAATGGGGGCATGTATCCGTTCGAACCATGTTTTCTCCAGATTTATGCCCAGGAGTGGGATTGCCGGATCCCATGGCAGCTCTACTTTTAGTTTTTTAAGGAGCCTTAGTACTGTTCTCCATAGTGGCTGTATCAATTTACACTCCCACCAACGGTGTAGGAGGGTTCCCTTTTCTCCACACTCTTTACAGCATTTACTGTTTCTAGATTTTTTTTTTTTTTTTTGCGGTACGCAGGCCTCTCACTGTTGTGGCCTCTCCTGTTGCAGAGCACAGGCTCCGGACGCGCAGACTCAGCGGCCATGGCTCCCGGGCCCAGCCGCTCTGTGGCATGTGGAATCTTCCCAGACCAGGGCACGAACCCGTGTCCCCTGCATCGGCAGGCAGACTCTCAACCACTGCGCCACCAGGGAAGCCCCTTCTGCCCATTTTTTGATTGGGTTGTTTGTTTTTTGATATTGAGCCACATGAGCTGTTTGAAAATTTTGGAGATTAACCCCTTGTTGGCCACATCATTTGCAAATATTTTCTCCCATTCTATGGGTTGTCTTTTCGTTTTGTTTATGGTTTCCTTTGCTGTGCAAAAGCTTTTGAGTTTAACTAGGTTCCATTTGTTTGCGTTTATTTCCATTACTCTAGGAGACGGATCAAAAAAGCTATTGCAGTGATTTATGTAAAAGCGTGTTCTGCCTATGTTTTCCTCTAAGAGTTTTATAGTCTCGAGTCTTACATTTAGGTCTTTAATCCATTTTGAGTTTATTTTTGTGTATGGTGTTAAAGAATATTCTAATTTCATTTTTTTTTGCATGTAGCTGTCCAGTTTTCCCAGCACCATTTACTGAAGAGAATGTCCTTTCTCCATTGTATATTCTTGCCACCTTTATCGTATATTAATTGACCATAGGTTCGTGGGTTTATTTGTGAGCTTTTTATCCTGTTCCATGGATCTATATTTGTTTTTGTGCCACTACCATACTGTTTTGAACTGTAGCTTTGTAGTACAGTCTGAAGTCAGGGAATCTGATT